GCATTACTCTTCACACTAATGTTTTACAAAGAAAAGAATTTATTTTACTCTACAGAAAAACCTCAAGAATACTACTTGAAAATTACTCATACTATTAATTAGTCAATCACTTCATATATTTCAGTTAGTTTTCAATAAAGAGTAAAATATCTTGAAAGTTAAAAACATTTCATATGTCACTAGCTCAAAATGACCAATGTCTGGAATAACATTTATTTGGAATACTATGTAATGCTTATTATCTGCCAGACACTATCTTATTTAAATACATAACTTATTTAATATTCTCAAGTTACTCTTAACCACTCCAGGCTAGATAACTTGCATATATAGCCCATAGTAAGTGGCATACTTGAGATTCAAACCCAAGTAGTGGTTAAATAACCACTATTCTATCCTACCTCTTGAGGGAAATGATTCAACCGGGGTCTGCTATGCATTTGAAAGCCATTGTTTATAAACTATAAGCATTCGGGGTTGTCAAATGTGAAAACTTTTTGCTAATTATGGGAGTGAATGTGTGAGTTTCAAGGAACTAAAAAGGAAAGTGAGCATAATAAATATGCCAAAAGATCACACAGTATAAATGTTAAGAGCTGAGATGGTGGCACTTAACTACTTCACCTGTGATTTCATCCTGAAATTACTCCCATTCAAAACACACACATAAAAAAGCAAACAGTCATATTTACCATTCAAGGTCATACCATTTAAATTACGTACATACACCAAAAACTACAGTAGTATCATCCATAAATAATGCTCAAAGATAATTGTCTCATTAACCTGGTTCCCAAACATTAAAGATGTTTTATTCTAAAATAATTAAGTGGTCAAATTGTTCTAACAATTTGATTGTTTATTGGTCAATAAAATTCACGTACCTTAAAATGGAGGCCAAGTCACCTTTACTGGAGAAAATTTGACATAATTTACTTTTACCTTTCCAAATAAAAAGCAGCACAGAGGTTTAACTGTATGATACTAGCCTGAAGTCAGTCGGGAAGAAAGCATGACTCTTAATAAATGTGGATCTGCTTTCCTTTGAAAGTAGCTTTGAAAGGAGCAATAGGAGGGAGAGCAATGTACATCTCTAGAGCTGAATTTCAAAGGCCTTATTTGGACCTTCTTCCACATGGGAAGAATTAGAAAACTTTTTGCCTTTTATTTTCCATTGTAAGATCCTAAATGGGCAAGTAAGTCCAGGCTATGTAGGTCTCCATGTGGGATTAGATGCAGTAGCAGCCATAGTGCGAGGAATGTAGGACACAATGGTCTATGTAACTGGCTGCTGTGAACTTTAGTGGCAAACTTTAAAAAAAGAAAGAAAGAAAGAAAGAAAAATCTTTACCACTTCAGCACAGATCTCAAAATCCCTTGAAGACACTTCCTTCAACTGGGTCTGCTGCATTAATGAGATCATGGAACAGAACTGCTAATTTAGAATTAAATGCTTTGGTGAGAAAAGCATTATAAACTAAAAAGCCAGAGTTTATAAAAAATAATTGGATGTGACAATAAGTGGTATTTTTCATATATGACCCACCATTGTGTGGATAAAGCAGCTTAAATTAAAAACGGAATCCCTTGAATTTAATTAAGTGGCTTTTAAAAATGGTTTTAAGGACATTTAAGTAATGTAGGAAAATTATGACACATTGACTTTGTCTAGTATGTCTTAAAATCCTACTAGTTCACTTCTTTTAAAATTATAATTTAAAATTATGACAGCTAAAAGAATTGTTAAATCACTGTGTTGTATACCTGAAGCTAATACAACACTGTATGTTAACTCTACTGGAATTAAAATACAAAACTTAATAAAATTTTTAAAAATTTTTAAAAAATAAATACAGTGCTGAAACAAAAAATAAATACAAGTAAAAATAAAATAAAATTGTTACAACTGTAATGTCAAATTAACCAAACAAGTAAATAAAAATTGAGTAAACTGTGCAATTTTATCTGGTGCAGTTTTTATCAATATTCTTGTTATTTAAAAATCTCCTTTTCTTTGGAAAATCTGCCTTAGTTTACCTGATTATATATGTAGCTTCTATATAATTCCCAGTGTTTAAATGAATATTCAGAAATCAATTATGTCATTCATATTTTAAAAATACAACTTCTGAACAAACCATGTTAAAGTTTTTCAACTATGCTAGTTTACTGACTCACTAGAAATAAAAATACTGAGCCAAGAGATTCTAAATATTTTTCCAGCAAGTAAAATCTGTAGTGAAACCCAAGACACAGAGGCACCATTATCTAACATTCTGAAAATTTCACTTTGCTTACAATGATAAATAAAATAAACCTATCTGTTGTTTGACAAGGGAAAGAATGATTTCAACAAGGGAATAGTTTATATGAATCACCATATTTAGAGAATATACAAGAAGATTAGATTTTCTACTACAGTTAAGCGAGCATTTTTTTTTTTCTTTTTTGATCAGTCAGGATGTGAATCAGGTTCCTGAGGGGGCTCTGTGAACATCATTACAAGCATCAATCATCAATGACCAAGTGAAGCCCAGAACTGAGAGTTAACAGAGAAAGAAAAGAGAATTTTCCCTAAATATATCACTTCATATTTGTATATTCCATGAGTTCTAAAATCAGTACTCTTTCAGATAAGATATTATAAAGAAGTTGGGTGATCAGAGACTACCTTGGATCAAATCATTGCAAGATTTAAATGACATCCAGTCCAGGCCCCATCTTACATAGAATTCACGACATCTGGTCATGTTTGCCTCTTCATAAAGACCCCAAATGATGGGGAGTTCATGAATTCACAATATAGCCCGCAGATTTTTGGAAAGTTATATAAGAAAGCTCATCATCATCATCATCATCTTCTTCTCGCTCTCTGTTTTAGAAAAGTCATCTTCTTAATGTAGGCAAAGATGCTTCATCCTTTAAAAATTTCTATAAGTTTACCTTAGTTTTGCCCTATGGAAGTTATCACAGGGTAGTCAAAATTCCTTTTCTTATTTGATAGCTTTTTCGTATTTAATGATAGCTTTCATGCCCTCACTTTTCCAAGTTAAGTCTTACTACTGGATTTTATGGAATATATCTATAATACCGAATAATCTTCCTTTCTTTCTTTTTTGGACACATTCTTGCTGCTAGAGTTACAGTTTGCCAGGATCCACCTCAAAATGCAGTGCTCAGAAAGAATACAACATTAAATCGTGGTCATCACTGCAAATTATACTAAGACAATCATCCCCTTCATTAGGATACTATCATTAGTCCAATTTAACAGCACATTAACTCTTGCTGCCACTTACCACTACAAATACCTAGCTTCTGCCAATAAAAGCATGGTCATTAATTGTGTGGTGGATTTCCTGGACTCAAAACTAGAACTTTACATTTGTAACTACTGCTGTAAGATAATATCATGACATTTAATAAGTTAACATGAATCCCTATATTTGAGCCTTCCTACCTAACTTATAAATCTTCAGTTCCATACAGTATTGAGCTATGTGGACCTACAAATCAATGTTTACGTTAGGCTATCTCAAGTCATCAGTTATCAATACTCAAGAATCCCCAATGAAAATGTTTTCTTGTATGGTAATTTACATTTAAGAAATTTTGCCGAGACTTCTTTTTCACTTGTTTACTTTTTAAACTGGTTTCCTAGAGAAGAACATCTCCCTAAGTGTTTCTTGATAGTTGGTCGTGCAGTAAGATTAAGTGGTTGTTCAAAATTCAGACAATGGCATGCTCAATTTTATCTTTGAGGCAGGACAAACGTAAAATCATCAACAAGAAACCTTTCTTTAGTCTGATACGAATTTGCATATATACATACACAGCGCACATGAAATGAGCTACAGTACATATACAAATCACATGAGGAAAACAGAGATAAGCTACTTTATTCTAGTTAAAGTTGTCCTCTTTCCAAGAAACTTTTATCTCCCTCTTCCCTCCTTCAGGACCTATTTTCCCTTCAGCAAAAACAGGGTTTAAATTAGAGTTCTGCAAGATCCCGGTCTCCCTAAGGCCCCATCACAGCCTTCAAGTGAGGCTCATCTAAGCCAGGTTGGAGCTGAGGGAGCCTGAGCTGTAACCCAGGGGCTTTTCCATCCAGCTCCTCCTCAGAAACACACCCCTCACATCGGAAGCCAAAAGAGAGTCCAACCACAGAGATCTTCCACTCAACAAGGGCAACCCCCGAGGAGCGAACACTCGGGTAACCATTTCTCTCCTCCCGACCCCCAGCACCAGAACCCGCTCCTAGTGCCGCGCCTTCTTCTCGAGCCTTCTCCCGCCGGCCAACTCGGGGTGAGCGCCCGGGTTAGTCAGTGCGCACGTGACGCGCGGTGCCCACATGACACGACCGAGGCGGGGGAGGGGGACAGAGGAGCGAAGCAGGGAAAAAGTTAAGGAAGACCCGTCAAAGCGCCCAAAGCCATCTGTCCCTTCCCTTCCTCCTCAACTAGTGGCTCCGGGAGGGATCCTTAGGGGATGGCTGCGGACCAAGGCGTCTCCGGTCCAGCTCCCCAAAAGGAGGGCGTAGTTCTCCGCGCGCCTCGCCACCCTCTGTTCCTCCCCACCCTGCTGGTGATGCCGCTGCACCCTCAAGTTGTTCCTTCCTCCCCTTTTCTCCCTCCCTCTTTCCTTGCTTCCTCCCTTCCCTAAAAGCTCTTCATCCACTGCGGGCTAAGCCACTGACGCACATTCAATTTGCCCCGGGAGCTGGCCCGCACCTCTGAGGTCACACAAGGCCAAACACCTTCCAAACTGGAGGGTCTAACTGCGCAAAGTTGCACGCCGCACCGCAGCCTGCCCCTCCCTTCCATTTAGCAGCCCCGTTCGGATCCCCTGCAAAGCTCACTTGCTTTGCCGGTACTCTCCCGACCTCACCCACCGTCGCGCCACACACCCCCTTCCACACGCGAGCCCACCCTTCCATTGCTCTGCGCTTCGAGCCGTCCAGCCGCCTGGCAAAGCACCCAGCAAGCCGCTGCGCTCACCTTGTTTGACACACTTGAGTCGGAGGGGGTCCTTGCAGTGTTTGATCACGGCCAGCACGTCCCTGATGGTGAGCCCCGCCACGGGGGTCTCGTTCACTTCCAGCAGCAGCTCCTCCGACACCAACTTGCTGCCGCTCTCATAGGCCACCTTGCCGGGCTTCACCTCCCCCAGGTAGGGGAACTGTCCGTTCTCGGCGCCCCCTTTCAGTTCAAAGCCCAGCTGGCCCTCCGGGTTCCTGCCAATGACACTCTCGTGGACTTTGCTAGTCCAGTGGCTTTTCTTTTTCAAGCTTTTGGACATGGCAGTGGGGTGAGTCGCCTCAGCTCCTGAGGGGTTCCTTTGGGGTAGGGGAGTTGGTGGTCAGAGAACGAGGATGGAGGAGCAAGGGGGCCAAGAGGTGAGAAGAGCAGACTTTGCCTTCCTCCCCCTTCTGTTCGGTGCTTTCCCTCTTCTTTGGATGGAGTGTGGATGATGAAGGGGGAGGATGAGAGGGACGGCTGGGCAGAGGTAGGAGAGCTTGGGTGAGGTTGTGCTGTCCCTTGAATGACACTCAAGGCTGTGGCCCCGCAGCAGAGGAGAGCTGTGGCGGCGGCGGCGGCGGCGGCGGCGGCGGCGGCAGCCTGAGCGAGCAGTAGCCGAGCTGGTGAGCGAGTGGGGTGGGGGTGGGGAAGGAGGGTAGGGATGCCGGGGGCCACCCCTGCGTGGTGCGAGTGGGAGCGCGCGCGCGCCTGGGTGTGTGTTGTTAGCTGATATCCATGGTAGCTGCAGTGGCAGCGGCGGGGTCCGTGTGTGTGTGTGAGTGTGTGTACTAGTTGTACTGTACTGGCCCGAGGGGAGGAGGCAGAGGAGGAGGGAGCGAGCTGGAGGGGGAGGAGGGCCGCGCGCGCGCGCCGGGTGGGGAGCCGCTTCGCCCCTGTCTCCGCTCCCTCCCTCCGCAGCTTGACCCGGTAGTGAAGGCGGAGAGAGAGGCAGGCTGGGTCCGTCTGGCAGCCTACGAGAAGAGGCGGGAGCGGGAAAGGAGGGCAGCCGAGGCCCGGCGTGGGGAGGCCGGCAGGAAGGGCTTCGAGCCCGGTGCGGACCTTTTCTCAGCCTCCAAGCGGCCGCGCGGCTCCTTAGGCTGCTGCGCCGTGAGACGCGCCGACTTCCTCCAGACTAGCGCTCGGCGGGAGCAGAAAGAGCGAGACCTGGGCTTGCGGCGCGCCCCCGGGGCCGCGGCTTTGGCGGGAGCGCGGCGAGCCCCCTGGCGCGGGGCCCTGCCGTGGGAAGGCCGAGCTGGTGGGACCCGTGGACCTATGGGGGAGGCCTGGGCGCGGCGCGCCGGGGGGAGGCGGAGGAGTTCTCTGTTGAGAGAGGCTTTGTCTCCTCACGTTTTCAGTCGAACTTGTCGCAGAGTTCTCAGAATTCCCCCTCAGAGGAGCGGAAAGTTAGGGAAGTACAGTCTGGTTACCCAGACAGCGGGGAGGCAGAGCGTCACTTCGCGCGGTGCAGGCTCAGCCCGCGCGTCGGGCCGGGATGGGAACTTAGCCGAGGGGAGTTGTGGGCTCAAAGGCGAGTCCGGGGACGTGTAGGGGAGGGGGCTTCACTTTTCCTTGGTAGGAGGCGCGGAGCGAGGGGCCGTGGGGTGGGGCGGGAGAGCGGTCGCCTCGAGCAGCCTCCTGGGCGAAGTGGGCTGTTTCCCCCGGGAAACTGCGGCGGAGACGCCTGGGGCACGTCCTCGCCCAGGAGAGTCTCAGACTCGGGCTTGCACCTTAGGAAGAAACCTTAAGATGTCCTGGCGCGACCACTTCGTGCTCCAGAGAAGGAAAAGACGGCTCGGAGCGAGCTTGAACACCGCGGCAGAACCCGGGCTGGAACTCAGCTCGCAGGCCCACCGCCAAGGCTCCTTTCCCTTCACCAAGTTTGCAGCCAGGAGGAGAGGTGAGGACAGGGGCGCCAAGATGCCGGACGGCTGCCGATTTTCACTAGAACGCTAATTTTGTGTAAGATGTTAGGAGTGATTTTTGAAATTCCTGTAACTGGTAAATGAATTTCATTTGCTTTATTTCAAAATGATACGTTTGAGAAAGAAAAAAAAAAGTCGCACACCCACTCTTCTCTTTAAAGCAAAGCTTGAAAAGCACTGAGCAGTTGAGATTTTCAGTGTCTGAGATGAAGAGAGTGTGGGAGGTAAGTACAGTTAAAAACGTGTAGCCCACCCAAACAGAAAGACCAGATTTGAATTCAGGCTCTGCTACTTACCAAGAATGTGATACTGAGTTAATTGCTTGACCTTTGTGAGCCTCAGTTTCCTTATTTGTTAAACAGGGTTAAAAGTACTAATTTGATAGGACCGTGTGAGGCTGAATCAGGTAATGCACACAAATGCTTGCCTGGCACAGGTGGGTAGGCGCTCAAAATAGTAATTTCCTTCCTCTTTTCCTCTCAAGTATAGCTCACTATTTGGGGAAGAGGGGGATCAAATTTAGTCAGAACTAGAAGAGATCTTAAACATGAATTATTTAAACGTGTCTTTTTTTTTCCCTTGAGAAGATGGATCCCCCACTGAGTTGGCTCCTGCTGATGAGGATTATTCAGTGAGCCAGGGGCAGTGCCAGGATCTGAAACCAGAACTGAAGGCAATGCCCAGGAAGGGGGAAGGCTTTTTGGAACATAGCCCAAGCTCACCCAAACAAGTTGGGTTTTAGCATTATGAGATACAGACCTACATGGAAATTAAAAATGGGAACTGAATATGTATTTTCAAACACGTTACAAACTGACATGAATGGGTAAATACTAATATTTATCAAGTTTTAGCCACGTGCCAGATGTTGTACTATAGGCTTTACATTTGTTTCTCCCAACATCTTAATGAAGTAGGTATTATTATCATCCCCTTTTACAGATAAGAAGACTGAGGCATACAGAGATTGTCTTTTGCAAGGCTGCAAATTTAATCAGTGCTGAAGCTAATATTCAGACCCAAGTGTTTTGGCTTCAGACCTGGTCTCATTCACTGCATTGTACTCTCTTCATGCACTTAACCATGTATCATACCAGTGATCAGTACTTAGTGTCCCCAGAGGTTGGGTCTGCATTTTATTGTAGGGAAAATTAGGGAAAAAATGGAGTAGGAGTTTGGCATAAAAGCATTTCCCCCTCAAGAACTCAGAACAGTCATTGAGGTATGTGCCAACAGTTTAGTGCTTCTCAGCTCCTTATTCATCTTCTTTGCCCTGAATTGTGATATTTAGAGCTGGAACCTGTAAACATTGCTTTGTTCTCAGTTGGCCCAATGTTAGGACTTGTCAGTAGAAGATGCTGGAGGGACACTGCATAAAAAGAGAGGCCTCTTCTTGGTACCAGTGCTTTTCTTCTTGCTCCTATGGTGTGGTCAGTGAGTGGCTTTCTGGCCAGTGATGTGTAAGAGACCAGTGTTTGACTACCCTTCATTAACTTTGGCTCGTTCCCAGTGTGTGGCTTTCTAATAAGCCTTACTGGCATCCCAGTGGGTGGATTCCTAGCAAGTTTCACTGACACCGCAGCTGGTGGTTTCCTCACCAGCCCAATCTGTGACACCTCAACGAATTTCATTTGCTGTCAGTTGGGCCACAGCCACATTATCTCCAATGAGATCTGTCTCCCTGTCTTAGTAGCGTAGAGGACAGGGATGGGCAGAATGGTTCTTCTGACTTATTGCCTAAGTTATTATTGGGGGCTTTCCCACAGCCTCAGAGGTACTGGCTGCTCCCTAAACCACTACCCCTGTATTTGTTAGTGATCTCCTCTCTTAGTAGTCACTCCCCTTTTACTAGTTAATAATTCCTTATATTAGCATTTCCCTGTGTCAGTTATTGCGTTGTTTCTGGCTCCTGCCTGGCTCTTGTGTGCTGTCGGTGTAAAGGGATCATGTAGAACCATCTGGGGACTTAGAAATTGGGATGCTGCATCTAGCTATACAACTTGGACTAAGTCACCTAACCTCTCAGAATTTGTTCCCTCATCTGTAAAAAGGAGGTGATAATATATATAACAGGGTTAAAATTTGGATGCATTTTAAATGCATGAAATAAATGCATGAAAAAAATTTACATGTATTCTGAGGACTTGTTAGGTTGTTTCCTGGGAGTAAAAAAACAGCATTTTCTGTCAGATATATTGTCATCAAATAAATTGTTGGTTAGATGCCTCTGCTAACTTTTCAGGGACAAAAGCACATAATTGTGAGTTCCAAGTTGTTCAAGTTTCCAGTGCTGTGAAAAACATGACTGAAATTACAATCATTTTAAAATGCTAGATTCAGACTAATTTGATTACTTTCTATTCTGGTATCCTTCACATTTGCTTCATTTCTTCTTGTCTTCTTTACCCTTTCTGGGTTTGATGCCTGTGTCAAGAAAGAATTATTTCATTGATGAGCACTCTGTGCAGAATATGGCACTAGATTTTGCATGCTGTTAAAAAATAGTTTAACAATCTTAAAAACTGAAGAAAGAAAAGCATTCTTATCACTTTGCGCATTCTCTTGCACAGTATAAATGCTAAACAGAATTCTACCTGATGACAGATATGTCCAGAGTGATAGTGTATAAAATTTCATTATATGACTACCACCTTAACACAGATTTTTATCTTTAGTACTAAATGATTATCTCTTTACACTCATACTAATGTCTTAAGGAAATGGAATGCAGAAGAGCACATATTGATGAAGAAAAGACGGAATATGCTTAGCAATGAGGCTGACGTTAAGAAGTCAGATTCTTCAAGAGCTTGGGACAGGGTCTGAGAGGTGATCTTGGTGATGATAATGGCAATGTATGATAAACTTGACCAACTCCATAGTTTGTCTGTGGCCATTCCTATTATTAAACCTCCTTTCACTTCTGCTTCATTATTCACACACACAAATGCTAATCCATATTTATAAGGTGGATTTATTTAGCGTAATACTGAGCTTCTCAGACTTTTCTATCAAAATATCTCTAACAATGGTATGCTCGCCCACCCCCAGCCAAGAATAATCTTATTTTTTAAGAGTAATCTTATTTGAAGTCTCTAGTTTTTATCTAAAAATTCATATGATTTTTCTACTCTGTAGTCAGTTCATATTTATATGGGTATAAAATATGATTTTTCCCCCAACTTTGCCTTAAAGATGTTCCAGGAGGATTTTCTATGTTTATCTGCTCGTTTCTTGGCCCAGCCTGGTAACTGCGTAGGTATCTACAGCTTAAGTACAGTGACTGGATATACAAGCCCAAGTTCTGGGGAGAGAATTTGGGCTATGAAGATAGATACGGGGACACTTTGAAACCTTGGCTCTTCAGCCTTACCCAGCACTGTGCTAAATGTGGTAATAGAAAAACACTGAACTCCATTTTTACAAAATCTCTTAGTAGGCAGAAAAGAGAAGAAAGATCACTGAAAAAGATTGTATTGCAAGGAGAGGATTGAATGTTGAGAAATCAAGCTTCTTGAAGTTAGTGAGGGGAAAGTTTAGGGGCTGAGATGCCTCCAAACACTTGCACAGAACTGCATATTTCATTTGGTATCTTATCAAACTACATTATAGTGCTAATTCTCTTTACCTGAAAACCTCAAATATTTTGATGACTATAACCTTTATATCAATTAAATTACATAGGAGGGCCAGAACTGTTTCACTGTAGTCTAGAATTAATGTTCATGATTGTGCTTCTGCATATTTTAGAACCATTTTATTATGTCTTAGTATTGCTTATAATATTGGGATGGAATATATGGTCCAAAGTCTCCACAACTAAGGAACTTCCTTTCAAACAGCACTGTCAGTTAGTCACCTAGCCCTTTGTAAAAGATCTGGGGACAGGCGAAATATGACTACTTAAGTCTACGAGGGTATTAGATCATTTTAGTTCGTAGAAAGTTCTGAATGATGTGACTTTGGTCCTTTCGCACATTTTTGTATGAAGTTCCTGGACCATACAGGATATACGAAGGCAGGGAAGAGAACTGCCAAAAACATTTAAATAATTGCTTCACTTTAACTACAGAGTTCACAGTTTGTGGAGCAATTTGACCAGCTCAATAAAAGAAAGCATGATAATGTTTTTTGTTGTTGTTCTGTGACTTTAAAGTCATTGTAATATTTTTTGTAAAGAATAATGGGTATTTTAGTAAGAACTCTTGATACTTTTGCTATCTATTCAACATATGCACAAAACACAAAAGGCTAATACTGTATTTGGATCTGGAAATGTATACTTTCTTATGGAGTACTATGCAGGTATACTTAAATGTCAATATCTGAATTTATCTTTCTTTTTTAATGTTTTGCTTTTTACTTATTCTGTGCCTGTCAATCTTTTATCATCAGTTCACATTCCACTAAACTCAAAAAGTTATTTTCATACCTTTTATACTTTAGGCCCTTCTTACCAGATTTTTTTAAACACTTGAGAAATTCAAATACTTCAATTTCATGCCATGAAATAGCTATGTGTGCCCCCCCTTTTTCTTATTTGAATGAGTAGTTCAATTGCTGTCACTTTATACTTTGTGATTCTAAATCTTTTAAAACCATCTTGCCATTTTTTCATGCATTCATCCTTATAGAAAACTCTATCTAAAAAACACTCTTACTTTCTAACTGCTGCTTTTTTTTTCAAAGTATTATTCCTTCTCTTTTCCAAATGGACATCTCAATCTATTACTTTTTTCTTTATAGATCTCTGTAGATGTATCTTCAGGTTCCCATCAATTCCCATCATAAATTTTAAAATAGACTTAAAATATCCTACATGTATTTTTAATATGACATCTACTGCCCAAATTCTAATCTTGCCTATTTTTTTTTTATCATTTTTGTTGTTAATTTAAAATACCAGCAGTTTCCATTGCAAGGAATAAGCACAAAGAGACAGTATTATCATGGACTCAGTTTTGTCAGTAGTGAA